ACTCAGCAATACTTTGCAGCCTTTATGTTGCTATATGAAGCTAATAACCCTCAAACAAAACATGTGTAAAGTTTTCATTTCAGTGAGCAGTCTCCCACACTTGATTCATGGTAGATTTAAGAATATACCGTATTTACACGAATCTAATGCGCATCGTTTTTGGCCATATGTAGTATTCAAAATTGGGGTGTGCATTAGATTCGATGGCGCATTAGATTCGAGTACAAAGTTCGCCGATGACGTCAACCAAATTTCTCGGCTACATTTACCGTTGACACATTATTGCATAGAGGATACAAACTGCAGAGTACATAGTCACGAAATGGAGGGCAAACAGAGAAGAATGTCATATGATGCTACTTTCAAACGTAAAGTAATTCTTTATGCTGAAAAAAATGGCAATAGAAAGGCAGGGAGAGAGTTCAACGTAGCTGAGAGCAATGTTTGCTTGTGGCGGCAACAGAAATTGGCACTGTTTGCAACTAAAGCTAATAGAAAGAAATTCACTGGCCCTCGCAAAGGAAGACACCCTAAAATTGAAGAAAACGTTTTGGAATTTGTACGTGAAAGGAGGAAGAATGGACAACCTGTGACTAGTGACACTGTAAGGATCTTAAGTTTTACTAAAGTTTATTTTATTTTAAATCTTTACTATCACTTCTTATTTTCTACTTCTGGCCAGAATTAAAAGTGTTAACTTATTTATGCAAAATTTTGTCTGGCGAACGCCAAGTATTTAAGTTGTGGCTTTTTGCCAAGCGAGAGAGAGGAAGGAGTTAGTCGAAGCAGGCCGCTTACCTTAGAAGTTTTACTCAGTTGCTAGTTGCCTTCCAGGCCAGAGGTTTAATCCTCGTGATAATTTTAAACGTATTGTAATGTTAACAGTTCTCTGTACTACATACGGCTTCCTGTTAATATACGGCCAATCTTCCTTGTTTATTATTCCAAAGTTAAGTTAGAGTTTAGTTAAATATTTTTATATTCTTACGTTCAGACCACAAGTAGTTGGTCTCTGTATTCCGAAGTACGGAAATTATTGTAAAGAGTGAAAAATAAAGGGTTTTGTATACCCTTCCTGTGTATCTTGTCTACTTCCCACAGTTATTGAACATAGCTTTAGTAAGCCCCCTGTTCCGAGTCAGGTCTGTGCATGTTCCCAAAGAAAGTAAGACGGAACTTTGAACCTGATAACACCATAAGAAATAAAGCAAAAGAGGAGGCTGAAGTTCTTGGAATACCGAAACAAGAGTTTAAGGCTAGCCGTGGATGGGTGGATCGTTTTATGAAGCGGATGGGTTTATCTCTAACACGCCGTACAACAATATGCCAAAAGCTTCCTGCAGATTTTGAGGGAAAACTACTAACATTTCAGTGGTATGTCATCACACTTCGGAAGGAAAAGAATTTTTCAATGGGGCAAATTGGCAATGCTGACGAGACGGCAGTTTGGTTTGATATGCCTCGTAACTACACCATTACGAAGAAGGGGACTAAGGAAGTTATCATCAAAACTTCGGGATGTGAAAAACAACGCGTAACAGTGATGCTGGCAATAACAGCAGACGGGTGCAAACTTCCCCCTTTCTTAATCTTCAAACGGAAAACATGCCCTAAAACCCCTAAGAATGAAAAGCTGTTCCCAGATGATGTCCTGATTCGAAACCAAGAGAAGGGGTGGATGACGGAATCATTAATGCTTGATTGGCTCCAAAATGTATGGAAACACCGTCCCGGTGGGCTCTCTAATCCACCATCAATGCTTTGTCTGGACGCATTTCGTGGTCATCTCATCTCACCGACGACGTAAAAAGAAGATGCACAGCCTAGGCAGTGATCTTGTTATCATTCCTGGAGGGATGATGTCTGTGTTACAACCCCTGGACGTTAGTATAAATAAACCTTTTAAGGGGTACGTTTAGGCGGAGTACGAAAAACGGTTTTGTGAGCCAAACCGTGTATTGACCCAGACAGGAAAAATTAAGTGTGCTGCACCGCACATTGTTGCACACTGGGTTTCTGCTGCCTGGAAAAGCATCGAAGCACCAATGATTGTGAAATCTTTCAAGAAATGCTGCATTTCAAATTCATTAAATGGCAGTGACGATGACATGCTCTGGAACGCTGACGATGATGAGGAAAGAAGAAATGAATCTGCTTCTGTTGAAGAGAGCTGCGAGGATTCCAGTGATGAAAACATTAGTGAATAAAGACATTTACTATTAATCACTGATTGTAGAAACTGTTAGCTAGATAGAAATGTTACGATTTATTTCATGTTCATATTTTACGATAGGTACCGTATATACGGTAGTGCTAATTAACAATGATTGTTTCACATGACAATAGCCCACTAATAGGTTAATTCTATGTTCTGCTACTTTATGTATAAATCCATTGTTGTAAAAAATATGGTATCTAAATTTAAATAAAATTATCATACCATTAATTGATAGTTTATATACAAATCCATTGTTGTATAAAATAAGATTCAATAAATTCCTCATATCATTGATGCGCATTACATTTGCCGACAAAATTTTTTTTTATTATTTAAAGTTTTAAAATGGGGATGCGCATTAGATTCGCATAAATACGGTACTATCTCTGTGATCCCATGTCAAATAAAGCTCTTGCAGTTTTTCTCTTCCCATTTGCTTCAACGGACACAAGCAGAGTTTGCAGAACAACTTCTGTTTGGCTTTCATTAGACAATGTTACATTTTCATCAATGTAAGGAGTCTCTGAATTTACTTTCTTATCAACATTAGACAGTACAATCCAATGTTTCTTTTCACAATTTATGTATCGAACATTAGCCTTACACTTTTTGGAATGACACCTGACTTTCAAACATGCAAAACAGGCTTTATTTTTCCTCAAAAGACAATTTTTTGGCCTTTAAAACGTCTTGAGAATAACGTGTTTTGCCATGAAATAAACAAGCAGGTTTTTCACCAGGGTACTTTCATACCCGAAACTAGATCATTATCCGTTGGAACAGAAATTTTGCCTTTTGTGTACTTTTGATTTTTATTTGATTTAAAATCAGCTTTGGATAAAGAAATTCGTTTTTCACCTTCAACTTCCGCACAAAGAAATAACAATAACTGCAGTTATCGCCATAGGAGTATTTTCTTCTTTATTAATCAGTGGAGAGCTTTTCTCGGGACACTTAGAACTTACACCTGACCAATTAGTCAAATCATGGACTATGCTTCTCCCATTTGGGCTCATGCTTCCAAAACTGTCCTGGAAAATTAGAAAGTGACCAGGCAAAGGCTGCAAAAATTATTACCAGTGCAGTGTCTTCCAGGAATAATTTTAAAGCAATTCAGGAGTGTGGTCTTGAAAGCCTCAGAAAAAGAGACAATATAATGTAACAAAATTTACAAACAAAGCAAGAAGTCATGTACCAGAACACATCATAGCGAAATCAAATTGAAAATTACAATGGCAGCACTAGACTGAAAAGGTCATCCCCTATGCAATTTGACAAAGATATTAGAACAGTTTTCGGCCTCGACCACAACAAATTTTGCATCTTCCAAAAGCCAACAATTTCTTCCAGGCTTCATACGAACTCTAAAATGGTACTCGACTTACTAAGCCCTGCAATAAAAAGGAATTGATTGATATCATTAAAGCAAAAGGAATCGGGACCATTGAACAGTATTCAAAAAAGGACTCTGTACACGATTATACAGATGGCTCATCAGATGAGGCAATCAGTACTGGAGGTTCTCGAGCATTTCTGACTAACCCAGCTGATACTACTTATCAACACAAAAATGGCACAGAAGCCATAGTCTCTAATTTCACTAGAGAGCTTCCGGCAATAACGAAGGCACTTGACATGTATAGATTCCTTCCCATTTCTGAGCAAGCAAGAGGAATCGTTGTCTTCTGTGACCCAAAGGCAGCCCTACTGGCAATTCTGAATGGAAACTCCCAGATCATCAATGGAATCCACTTTTGCCTAAATGAGCTTCAAAAGTTAAATAAGTTCTTCAATGGCTGCTAGCACATGTCACATCACAAGTAATGAGAACACATTTAAACTGGCAAAAGAGGCTCGAAATCTCAACAATAATAGTAATGTAAATGTCACCCTTTCGGACACAAATTCCATGGCCAAATACAGACTGAAGGAACTTCCAATTTCAATAAAAAAACAATAAAGCAATAACTTAATAACATCAATGGGAGATTGACTTCTAACTGAAACCACTGTTAGACTTAGAACTGACCATCACAGAGGATTGAAAATTGACAAAGAGAGTAGGAAAATCTACAGGAACTATAATAACTGTCCAGACAACAGATCTGACAATCGCACACATTTTTGATTGTCCTGCCATCCTTACTGAAAATTGAGGTCTTGTTTAAAAGACTGAACCTATAACATTTTGCAGATTTTTAGAGTTGTCATCTTCACTTATGGTACTATTTGAATAGACTTTTTGATACACACAACAACAAGAGGAATATGATAAAAGTGGTATTAGTAGCCCATTCAACCATGAAGAAGCAAATCTGAAATAAACTACACATTTAATCCTCTGTTATTAATGAATAAGAATTTTTAGCTATAATTATACAGATGCAGACAGAAAAAGTTAGTGAGTCTGACTGCTGGACCGAATGGTCTGATTCCAAATCCCTCACAAAGCATGGATATAATTTGTCCATTCATTCATAGGAGGCAATAGTGGTCTACCTGTTAGGTGCCTCTATAATAAGAGACCACATTTTTTGGCCTTAATAGTAACTACAGCCCACCGTTAAGAAGGAAAATAAAAATTGTATAGATGTATATCAAATCTGATCTTTTCCAATGTTGTGAATATAATCAAAATTTTGATTTTATATATGCTTAAATAATTAAACTAAATAGAAAAATATTGAAAATGGAACAACCTCTACATAATTACATATATAATCTGGAAGCATGGACTCAGTTACTTTACATTCACTTAATTCTCAAAATGAAAGTTACTTACCACTCTTATTTTGCAGTTAGTTTGCTGGCTACTTACCAACTTCTGGTAATGGTAATGGCAATACCCACAATACTTAACATTATCAATGTAATTGCCAGCTTCTTCACATAATAAGCCAGCTGCTTGAGCACTGAGGAAAACAGAAGTATCATATTAAATATTTTATACTTAATTTTACATTATAGTAGAACCCCGTTAAGAAGTTTTTCAAAGACAAAAGTTTTAAGAACTTCTTAAGGAGGAAAAACTTATTAATGGGGAAGGTTTATTAAAAACAACAACTTAAAAATTACCACAAGTATTAAAAAAGAAACTTGTGTATTTTACGATGACTACAATAAACTAATTTGTCAAGGGCTATGTTTTCAGTTCTGGGAGACATAACTCAATATGGAACCTAAAATTCACCTAAAATACTGCATATATCCTAAACAAAATTCTAATGGTTTCTGGGATGCAGAATTCAACAAACAGCAGATAGATAGAGATTACTGCAACAAATATTGTAAAAATTGAATTCCCCATAATAAGTTCTCAAAACTAGAGTAGTTTTCAGAAAAGTTCTGAAATTTTGTGAAATGTGGTGCAATATTTTGCAGTTTCCAGATGTTGCAAATGTATTGCAATCTTTCTACATCATTTTCCTTTATGATGTATAGGTCAATCAAAAAGTTTCAATTTGGGAAGAATTGCTACAGCATATATTCAAATTAGTGCATCGCCAATGCGGGTACATAAGCACCAATTTTTTTGGCATGCAACTGTTGTAGCATTCATGTATTTCTGAAGAGTGTGCGGAAAATGCTTGAATGTTAACACTGGTGACATTATTACCAAATGCAGCCAAACATAAACAATGTGGTATTATTCCTTTTCACTGCTGAAGGACAAAACCAGTGGACGTTCATCAAAGAATGAAAAATTGTATGGAGAAGCATGCCTGTTGAAAACCACTGTTGTGGAATGGTGCTCTATGTTCAGTACCGGTCATGATTCGACTCAAGTTGCAAATCGGAGGACCTCCATGTCCGTTACAAATAATAACAAGTGGGCAGTTGATGATGCAATCAGGGTGGAATATTGCATATCCACTTGCGCACTCTCAAGGATTTTGACATAAGCTTTGGTAGCATGCAATGCATTATTTGACAGGAATTAAGCTATCATAATATCTGCAGCCAGTGGATACATTGGATTCCGAGCAAAATTTGAACTAGACGGCTGTTTCTTCGAATCACCTCATGCACTTCAATGTCAAAGGCAACATGTTCCTTGAGTACATTGCTGCAGGCAACGACAGCTAGTCACAAAACTGGGAACCTGAGTAGAAAGCATCAACTATGCATTGATGTCATCCTTCATCTCCTCATCCTAAGAAGTTCAAGAGCCAGTCATCTGCTGGAAAAGAAATGCTTACCCTATACTTTTATTTCCAGGGCCCACTATTTATTGATTTCAAAGATCCAGGTGTCTCCATCACTGCGGAATGGTACTCCGAAACCCTGGAGAGATTACAACATGCAATAAAGGCGAAACATCCAAGAAAACAATGGAATGGGCTGATTTTGCTTTATGATAACACACACTAAAGTGGGAGACATTCAAGCACCTGCTTTACAGTTCTGATCTTTCCCCATGCGATTTCCATACCTTCAGTAAAGTTCTTGAAAAGATGACGGTCCCGAACGAACGAAGTGGTGCAGCAGACAGCTTTCTCTTCTTCAAACAGCAAAAAAGGTGTTTTACCTAACCAGTATATTCAGCCTGGTGAAGTAGGATGACTTCCTAAATGCTCAAGGCAATTTTGCATTACAGGCATACAAAATCTGGACTATACAGGAACTTTTTGATGGACACTTGGAAAACTTTTTGATTGAACCTGGAAACATTTTAATCACCCCTTATACTTTAAATATATTGTAAAATATTATCTTTTTCCATGAATGAATTAAGCATCATCAAGCATTGCTTCTTGAAGACCATCGACTTATCAATATCTTATTTAAAGACAAATTTCCATTGATTGCTGATAGTAACTTTATCCATTGCTGATTAGAGAAAATAAAAATACTAGTTCTTGTAACTAACTGGAAGTCTGTTTATTTCTCTAAAACTCAGTGCAACCCAAATTTTACAAAATAAATAGCACAAAGATATATAGTCTGGATCAGAGCTAAATTCACTAGCATATGCTTGGACATCACAGTTAATTTCTGACAGATTAGTTGCACTGTCATAAATTTGTTTTGAAAATTTATTATATCTGCTTCAAAAACTAAAAGTGTCTTTTGGTTTTGACCTATTCTCAGAAGTACAAAACACAAAAATCACGAGAATTTTCTTAGGGGTGGGGGAATCATTCTGACACTATAAAATATATCAAAAAGAGACTTAATAAATAAATAAATAAATAAATAATGAGCCCTTTTAAGAATATTCACTTTTCAACCAAAGGAAATTGAAAAACTGCAATAACAAACAGTATATATCATGACTGTATTACATTTCTTCGAGGAAATAATAAAGGAAGTTATTTCTAAATGATACCTAAAATATATATGGGCATTATTTATTTATTTATTTTTCTTAAATATAACATGGCAGAAAGTCAATTCTCAAGTCATTTCTGGAAGCATATGAAATTCCTACTGTTAAAAGACAAATGAACAGAGAACAGCTTTTATCTTGCCTTATGATCATTAGTCTTTTATGTCAGATGAATTTGCAGTGCCACTTGATGATCACTGGAATACTAGAACATAATATTTTCAAACACATCTGCTCTCACACATAACAGTAGTGCACCATAAAGCCTCGTCTCAGGAAACATCCTTGGTTTTCTTTGAAAGGCAGTAAACGTAAAGAAAATTTAGACGCGAGAAATTATGAGGACAATTAATAAAATAATATGCCATGCTACATAAAAATTGTGAATAATTTTAGAAATATGTTGTAAATAAAATTAGTGAGAGTGTAGAGTTCCACTCTTTTATCTAACAGCTAAATGTGTCGGAACATCGTGAACAGATAAGCGAATAATTCCTTGAGTTCAGGAACAGAGACGTAAAACTCAAGAAGGGTTAATTACCCTTTACTAATCAACATAAGACTTGAACAGTCGGCTCCTTTCTCACAGCGTACAGCAAAGCCTCAATTTGGGCTTGAACTCAAAGTAATAAGAAATAAAACTTAACTAAGGCTTAACCGCTTGCCTGATTATCCCGAATTATCTGGGTTCGTATATATTGCAGTTAATTATTATCCCGAGAAAACTTGGCGAAAGCAGAATTTGTTAGTACGATTTCTTTCATCACGGATTTACTTGGTCTGGAGGAAATATTCAGCTTTGATTGGCAGTTTGCCAAATTTTGTTGGTTGCACAGTTCTTTTGGAGGGACTGGTTGCGTGTTTCCCTATTGTATAGTATACGTTAGCTTGTGGATTAGTTATGCATAAAGAAGGATGCATGCATTGGAAAAAAAATAAAATAATGGCAATGATGCAAGATAGCGAAAGTGATGATTTTTCAGATAGTGATTACGAAAAGGTGGGGAAAAAAATATAAATAAATAAATAAAATCCAACGAGACAGTGTACTCTGTGCTCCCGTGAAAGAGATTCCAGAGGTAAGCCAGTAAAAAAAGGGACCAGATATCAGTGTAGAACGTCAGGTATCACTCTGTGTTGTCCCTTGTTTCAAAAACTATCATACAAAGATTAATATTTAACTTTTTTTCGTTTGCCCGAGATAACTCGGGATAGTAAACTAATATTAAAAATAAATGCTTTTACACCTTCAAAAAATTAAAAATTCAATTTAAAACCTACATGTTTTGATTGGTTTTGTTTTGTTGTATTTAATAAAAAAATTTAAAAAAAAAAAAAAAAATGTGATGATTTTTTGCACTTTTTTTCAAAAAAATTTGTAAGGGAAGCGGTTAACTAAAAGATATAGCTGAAACTATCAAGATTTCGAAGTAGTTGGCCCCTAAATTTCAAATAAGCTGGTGAAGCTATCAAGGGCCTGAAATACGACCTAGCGTAGTAATAGCTTAGAGAGAGATGTAACCAAAAGGCGAATGAGTGTTAGTCAGACACTCTGGCTCTCTAAGGCTGTGGAACTTTGACTTAAATACCACTCTTACTCATTTGCATTAAACAGGATTCTAAAAACATATTCTGGTAGGAAATTGTAAGCTGAAATTAGGAATACAATAGTAGCTTTAACTAAAATTAATTGTTAGAAACTTAGGATAAACCTTACTAGAGTATCATTAAAAACCACCATTAAAACATAGATTAATAGATATTTGGTAAAAAGAATAAATATTGTTCCTCTGAAACACCATCCTTTTACATACATTTCATAACAAAAAAGAAATTGTCTATAAAGGTCAAATCAGAGAAAAATTTTAAAAAAATTGAATAGTATTTTGCAAGTTTAATACCAGTAACTTTTTTTTACTTATAGTTTTATATGCTGTTGTATAATTTGTGTGTCCAGAATCATGTTTTTTATCAGCCAAAACAGATCAAATTCAGCAATTCATTATTTTCACTGCTGGAAGAATTAATTATTTCATCACAGCTTCTTAAAAGAAATCCACGGACAATGCAGTTTTTTATTACTGGAACAAGGCTTCATAAAATTTCCTTACAATAATTAATTTTTTTTTAATTATTAATTTGACAGCATAGCATTAGACTCTTTTTCCTTTTTTTCCTCCCTAAGATCCTCTAGTTCTTAAATTTAACATACAAGATTTATGAAACCATGAGAACTCATGTCAACAAATCCCGTACAACCACACTGATTACTTCCTTTAAATAATTTAAACATTCATAAATATATGTTCAGTGCTTTATGACTATATAAGCCGTATTCATTGTGTTTTTTACTATTTACTAATTTTCAAGCAAATACGTTAATACTAAAATATCATGTTTGATCAAAAAAGGTTGTTTAGTTTTGTGAAAATTCCTTTCCTTATTTTGATTGAATCCTGTGAACAGCAAAATAATCAACACAGGAGTAATTTATAACCACTTGAATGGATCTTTAAAAACATGAATATTTCATAACAGTTATGATGCTCTAATTGCAAGATTTTGAATTTGATATTTTGGGTT